TATTCTATTCTATTCTATTCTATTCTATTCTATTCTATTCTATTCTATTCTATTCCATTCCATTCCATTCCATTCCATTCTATTCTATTCTGTGATGACCCAGAGTGTAACACAGATGTAACAAAATCCAAAACTTAAATAAATGTTCTTTAATGCCTCCAACTTGGCCCCACTGTTCAATAATTCGCAGTTGGAGATAAAACGTACTCAAAAATAGTCTTCAAAAGAAAGCAATACAGTCTGAACTTAATGAGCAGATAGAGGTGAAATAAAAAACAAAGCAAACTACAATGATGAAATTTCCACAATGGAACAGGATAAGTAATTACCAAATTCAAGGAGATAACAAGGCACAGTCTGTTGGAAGGAGGCCAACCAAGATAACTTCAGCCCAAGATAAAATATGCTTTGCTTCTGGCAACTCTGTGTGGTAACCATCTCTCTTATATACTTGTCTTCCCAGCTGCAACCAATGAGGAGGATCATGGCCGTGTCCTCTCTCATAAGCCAAGTTGTTGCCTTCTCCGTTCCTCCCTGTGTGTCCTAGGATGCAGAGGGGATGGGCCTGGTTCTTCCTCTGACTTCCCAGCCAGGTTCTGTCCTTCCCCAGCCTCCTCCACAACCTCCGGAGCCACACCTCCACTCCCTGTCAGCTGTTCCTCCTCTCCCTCAGAGTCCGACTCTACCAAGGGCATGACTATTCTATTCTATTCTATTCTATTCTATTCTATTCTATTCTATTCTATTCTATTCTATTCTATTCTATTCTATTCTATTCTAGTCTAGTCTAGTCTAGTCTAGTCTAGTCTAGTCTAGTCTAGTCTAGCCTATTATGTGTTTGATAAGGTTGAGTTATTTGTAAAAACAATAAAGGTAGGGAATAAATAAATAAATATTTTATGTAGTATCTTCTTAAAGAGCTACAGAGATGTTTGTCTTCAATGATGTAACATGGAAGTGAAATAATAGCTCTAAACCCAGGGGTTTTGTTTGGCAAAGGTGACTATTTATTGGCAATTAAGCTAAATGACTACCATTTAACTCTTTGATACAGCTCCAGCAGCTTTCCCCAAAAATATTGAGAAACAATTCCAAAGAAGTTATAAGTAGCTTCATATCTTGCAGTTGAGCACAAAGAGACAGGCAGGATCTTGTCCCTTTGAATTGTGCCAGTGATTTCAATTTATTGGACTTTGCTTGTTTATCAGTACATGCTTTGCTAACTTCTTGATGTCACTCGTTGGATAGGAGAACTGATATCCTTCCAAGTGTTAGCCAAATGTCTTCCTAGATTTTGCCATTGATGGAAAAGAATTGCTGAACAAAAAATGTGGAAGACAATGATTATAATGTGGTTACTGGTTGACATTAAGTGCTGGACCAATGCCACAACTTGCCCCCAAACTCATACGTCTTCTATCCTTCATGAATGGTATAAACCAGGAAACCTCCTCATTGGTGGGATCACAGCTCAGATTGTATATGTACTTGAGGAAAATTCCTTTGAGGAACATCCTTCAAAGAAATCATTTATGCCACCTCTGTAAGAATTTCTTTTCCTTTTCCTTACTCTCCATATATTGTTGGAGACTGCAAAAATCTATCGATTGTCTGTCTGTCTGTCCCTCCACCCCCCCTCTATCCATTTATCTCCTGACTTTTTTTATAACTTAAGAATAGAATGTAAGAATGTAAGAAAGTATTCACTTGCACTTCAACTTGCATTGATCATAATAAAAATAATAACCTTTTGTATGTTTTCTAGCTCTGCAGTTAAATTGCACATCATATTTTCCCACAAGCTAGTCCAGTTGTAGACATCCATCTCATGATGCATCAAATGTTTGTCACTGTTTTTATATGGTGTCTACTGTCTATTACAATTTTCAAGTTTCATATTTTTCCTCTTGCATCATTCAATACATTCTTCTTTTCTCAATTAGTTTCATTTCACTTGTCTCCAATTATGTTATCAGAGCCATTTTAAAGTTGTATCAGCATTCCCTGATTTTGGCATTTGCGGTGAAACAGATAAATTCAAATCCAAGACTCTTGTGTAATGTTACTCTGGGATTTTTCATCTGTGATAACTATTTTGATGCCCAGCTGACTTACCGTTCCACTTTGGACCTGCTCTTTCGATCAGACCGGTTGTTTTTCAACTACAGATGTGATATCAAAGAGAATCTCATTTTGGCCATTATTGGTGGATTTGGTGCTGATATCTCATTCTTCATGTCAGATGTCATAAGTCTTTATAAAATCCCGCAGGTAAAATACAGTATGTATTGACATGTATGAAAACTCATCCATATGGCAAAATTGTAAGGAATTGGAAATAATGACTTATCAAGTAGAGATTAGATCCAGCTTGAATGATGCATAAGAGATCCTGATGAATCTTGGGAAATAGAATTGAACTACTGTATATTTGATGCATCGCATTGCAGAAGGTGAGAATTTAAGGTGCTGATGTTGATGTAAATCCATCCTGATCCATGGAACCTAACATGTCTATCACTTTCTGTCAGCCAAACCTAAGTTATGCTTAGAGACCTGTGGAAGTGCTCTTAACTGCCTGAACAAAAGGCAAGATATGAATCTAACAAAGAAATCAATACAGTAATGGTCACAAGATTTATTTAGAATTGAAAATGGAATCCCACACATGGAAAGAGTTTGGGAAAAATGCACATATCTGCATGTTGTTTAAGAAAATACAATTCTCATGTTTGTTGAGACATTCCAACCAGAGGTGGTATTAAGGGGTTCTGACCACTTCTGGAGAACCAGTAGTGGAAATTTTGTGTAGTTTGGAGAACTGGCAAATACCACCTCTGACTGGCCCCACCCCATCTATTCTCTGCCTCCCGAGTCCCAGCTGCTCAGCTGGGTCTTCTTTTGTTGCCTTGCACAGGAAAACAGAGCTGGAAAGCAGGTTAGTTGGGTGGGGAGGGAATGGAGATTTTGCAGTATCCTTCCCTTGCCATGCTCACCAAACCACACCCATCAAGGCATACCATGTCCACCAAGCCACGCCCACAGAACCAGTAGTAAAAATTTTTGAACCCCACATCTAATTCCATAAGAACCAACTGAGCATCTTATTTTAGCTTGCTTATGGCTCCTTTGCTCCAAAGAAGCATGGAACAAAGATGGCGACTTCCTTTTACCAGATGGCACCAGATGAAAATCTTCAGATTGCAGGAATTATCCAGTTGCTGAAGCATTTTGGATGGACATGGGTTGGTCTTTTAATTCTGGATGATGACAGTGGAGACAATTTCCTCCAAGCCCTGGACCCACTTCTTTCTGAGAACAGGATCTGTGCTGCCTTTGTGGTGAGAATGCCCAAACAAGCTTTTTTTTCTGTGTTTCAAAATGCAATTGTGGATAGGATAAATAATTATTGGCTGGACATCAAAATCAATACATTCCTCTTCTATGGGGAAAGCACCACAGCAATGCTTCTGTTTATGTTCCTTAAATATACATTTTCTTTGAAAATATTGGGAAAAATGTGGATTCTGACAGCTCAAATGGATTTAACTTTAACGAGTCTTCATAGACCGTCAGATTTGAAATTGTTTGATGGAGCAATTTCCTTTGCTATTCATTCCAATGAACTGCCAGGATTTGAAAAATTCCTTGGGGCTCTCAAACCATTCCAGACCCAACGGGATAGTTTATTGAAAGAATTCTGGGAACAAGGCTTTGATTGCCACTTTTCAGGAAGTAACACATTGGCAGAAAGTAATGAAACATGTACTGGGAAGGAAGAGATGAATAACCTTCCTCAGCATTTATTTGAAATGACCGGCCACAGCTACAGTATCTACAATGCAGTCCATGCTGTAGCCCATGCTCTTCATGGCATGAGCATACATAGGTCTAAATACAAAAGAGTAGCTGAAAGTATAAGGGACAAACTTCAAGATCAAGGGACCTGGAAGGTAATAACTTTTATTATATAATCATAAAATATGAATAGGAGAACTAGTAGGAAAGATAAGAAGGATAGTGCTGTGGGAATTAGATGTTCAGCAGCATGATGGCATGAGGCAAAATCTGTACTTGTGTCTATTTGTTTTGGTATGCACTGCCCAATAGCAGTGTTCTGAAGGATTGCGTTGAAACAGTTTATGTCCCAGTTGTGAGAGGTCTGTAGATATTTTCAGCCCTCCTTCTGAAACGGACAATATACAGGTCCTCAATGGAAAGTGGGCTGGTTGCAATTGTTTTTTTCTGCAGTCCTAACTTTCAATTGAAGCCTGTACTTGTCCCCTTTTTGTTTGCTGTACCAAACCAGACAGTTATAGAAGTACAAATAATTACTGCATGTACTTCTTCCTTTTTCTCAAATTATCCAGGAGGCTTTGGAGAAAAGAACCCAGATTGTTGGAGGCAACATGCTGTCTCTGTAAAACCTCTTAGAGAAGGCTGTAAAGCACTATGAAGTGGTATATAAGTCTAAGTGCTATTGCAAAAGCCACTTATTCAGTTCTGGAAATAGGTTGAAATTGAACACTGATAGAATTCTTTTCATTTAAGTAAGACATTGACATGATCCACTAAGACAAGACAATTCACATTGTCCTGAATGATGGGTCAGTGTTGCAGATGTGTCTTCTCAGCCCTCCCCAGCAGTAATTTATTTATTTATTTATTTTTGTCAAGCAAGTATTAGATAACAGGTATAAGTATAAACATGGTTATGAATACATGAAATGGATACGAATATAAAGAAACATTAGGACAGGGATGGTAGGCATGTTGGTGCACTTATGCATGCCCCCTACAGACCTCTTTGGAAAGGGGTGAGGTCAATAGTAGACAGTCTAAGGTTAAAGTTTTTGGGGTTTGAGGAAGAAACCACAGAGTCAGGTAGAGTATTCCAGACATTGACCACTCTGTTGCTGAAGTCGTATTTCTTGCAATCAAGTTTGGTACCTTGAGTTTGTATCTATTGTGTGCTCTTGTATTGTTGTGGTTGAAGTATTCAATGACAGGTAGGACATTGCAGTAGATAATTTTATGTACTACACTTAGATCGGGCTGAAGGTGGTGTAGTTCTAGGTTGTCTAGGTATAAAATTTCAAGTCTGGTGGCATAAAATATTCTGCTACGAGTAGAGAAGTGAAGAACTCTTCTCATGAAATATTTCTGGACTTTTTCGACTGTATTAATATCCGATATATAGTGCGGGTTCCAGATCGATGAGCTGTATTAAAGTATTGGTCTAGCAAATGTTTTGTACGCTCTAATTAGTAGTGCAATATTACCAGAGAAAAAGCTATGTAATGGCTGAATGTCTTCAGTTTGGGTGACTATGATACAAGTATGGCATTCAGGATTTGTTCAAGGCACCCAAGTTGACATACCTTCATTCTGTACCTCATGTTCACCAATCTGATGCTGATTTTGTCAAGGCTGGATGGAGTGTGTTTCAACATGGATTCTAGATAGGAGAAGTCCCCAGTCTGGAATAACTTCTTCATAGGTTGAAGCCACCAGTCTTCCTCATATTTTTGCAGGAAATGGTCAAGAGGAGATTTTAATGGAAGAAACCTGAAGGAACATGAGTGTCTCATTTCAAAATTTCAAGGTGATAGCTTCACAAAGCAGCTACTAAGGGGCATTTTGAACCTGGAAATGGGTCCATTCCTAGTCACCAGAAAATGAGAGGGATCCCAAGACACTGGAAAAATTTGAAAGATGAGTGACTTTGTAGCTTAAATATTATGCAGGTAAAGGAACTGAATGCATTTAGCCTAAAGAGAGAGAGAGCTTAAGGGCAACTTGGTAACAGACTTCCAGGAATTGAAGGCAGGGGTGGGATTCTTCTGGTTCGGACTGGTTCTGGTGAACCCCTTGTTCCAATGTTCAGCTCACTCTGAACTGGTTCACTGCAATGAGGAAGTGGGTCTTCCTGCTCACCCGCCCCTGTTCTTTCCTGTGCTTTATGCCTTTGTTTAGAACACAGTTGATTTGTGCGGCACAGCATTTTGCTGTGCCTCAGCTGTTTCCTTCACAGAGGCTGCAGTTGAAAGTAAGTATGGGCTTGCCTTTTAAAAATGCAGAGCACACATGATCACCGATTATACTGGTGGAATCCCACCCCTGATTGAAGGACTGTTAACCTAGAAGAAACTATGGGTTTATTCTCTATAACATCTGAAGGAACCCAAGAACATATCAATCTGAGTAATTTCTATGTCCACAATTCCCCATTTCTTCCTCCATTTTGTTACTTAAGTAAACTACTATTTCCACTAACAAAAGATAGTTCTCATGAGTTAGGTCAGGTGTCAAAAGAAGCAACAAAAATGCTTGCTTCCAAATCTCATTATAAAGTCTGCAAATGATTGGATTTTGATATCATTCAGTTCCAGAATGCTCTGATGTGTTATTTTGCTTTTAAATCTAAGTTTGAGGATGGTAGGTATCTGGAACAAGCCATTATGATATCAATACAATAAAATGTGTTCATATTTGTTTTTCTTGTGGAAACCCATAATTGTGATTTTTGCAAGCTGAGATGGGATAGTCACGATTATAACTGATTGATAGAAAAGTCATACTATTTTCATTTCTATAGATATAATTTTCAAAAATATAAATTTCTGGATGTTATCCATTGGTTTGTTTTCTTTTCTTTGTTTCCTGTCCTTTTAATTTAGCTTCACTGGTTTCTCCAAGGCCTTTCATTTAATAATTCACTTGGAGAATCTGTGTCCATTGACCACCATGGAGAAGTGCTTTCTGGATTTGATATTGCAAATGTGGTCATGTTTCCAAACAACTCCTACCGTAAAGTGAAAATTGGAAAGATGGATCCCAAAGCAATTGAAGGAGAAAAATTTGTGATTCATGAGCATTTAATTGTGTGGCACAAAGATTTTGAGCAGGTATGGATTTTGAAGCACCCATGTTTCCCCCAGAATAAGATACTGTCTTATTTTTTTGCCACCAAAAAAGGCACCAGGTCTTATTTTCGAGGGATGTCATCTACTGACTAACCTCACTTGTGTGCATCACCCCCGTCTCCTTTTTGCTGTCAGAGGCCTTCAGTAACTTCTTCTTCTGCAGCTGGCAAGGCTTTTCTGAAGGCCTCTGCAGCCGATAACAAAGCTCCAAATCGATCCAGAACTCTGTTATTGGCTGTAGAGGCCTTCAGGAAAGCCTTGCCAGCCACAGAAGAAATGGCCCAGCAAGGCAGGTGTTGGGGTGTGCAAGGCCTAGCTGCAATGTCCGAAGGTAAATGTAAGGAGCTCCACCCCCGCATCCCAACCCTAACTTAATTTTTACCCATGTACTCTGGAGTGGATGAGGTCTTAATTAGGGTTGATTCTGGGGTTAGGGTTTATATTGGTTGCATGTATAAAAATCAAGCTAGGACTTACTTTCAGAGTAGGTTGTATTTTCGGGAAAACATGATATTTTATAATTTTCGATGAAAAATTTGGAGATCAAAGATCAGCTGTATTAAAGAATCTGTTTCATATTTTTATATCAGTTGGAATTAAGTATTCTATACTCAAATATGGGAGTTGTCTCCTAATCTGGAAGAACTATAATTGGCAAATAATTTACAGGGGGGCTTGGGAAGATGGAGTTTTTGCTGAACTTCTTACTTGGTTGTATGGACAATAGTGTAAAAAATGAGTAACTGATTCCTAAAATTATGGTTAGACATCCCAAATTCCATCAAGTAGATAAGTAGGAAGAAAATCCTAAATTTAGAATTTAAAAATTTCATGGAGTAGGAACTCAAAGGCACAATTAAGGCTGCAATTTTTTTGTATGTTCTACTTGTGTAAAGCTATATATTAAATCTCACAGTAGATATTTTTTTAAATCCAGAATGGTGAAGGGAGGGAAAAGCTTAGATGAAACCAGCTGCATTATTTAGGAAGTGTCAGAGAACTTTCTAGTGCTATACTATATGCCATGGTCCTTTGACTTCTGCTACTTTATGTATGCAGGTAGATTAGAAGATACCAGTATTACTCAAATCCTTAGTTTTGAATTCCATCCTGGTTTATCAACAGGTCTTGCCTCATTCAGTGTGTAATGATCCCTGTCCTGCTGGCCATCAGAAAAAAAAGAAAGAAGGTGAGAAATTTTGCTGCTATGACTGTGATCCATGTTCAGATGGGAAGATGTCAAATATGTCAGGTAAATTATTCTCTATTTTACTCTACTCTACTCTACTCTACTCTACTCTACTCTACTCTACTCTACTCTACAACATATTATATTTTTCATTGCAAAATTCACCAAATGGTAAATTACTTTTATTTATAGATGGAGCTGATTAGCTTGCTTCATTTATTCCAATATCAATTCTCATACTAGAAGATTTTAGTTGGCTGAAAACATAAAATTTAGTATTACTATGGTGAAAAGCTTTCAACTAATTCCTAAAATGAACAAAAAGAACATTAGATAGAGGCCCTGGATTAAATTGTGCCCATGCAACTCTCTTTTCTCCAGGTTTCCAGATTCGGTCTGGTTTAGTTTAGTTTACTTTATTGTCATTGCACCTCATACAATGAAATTAAATACCATCTTCAGTGTACATTATAACTATAAAAAGAACACAAATACACATCCTTCACATTCTATACAATTTAATTGAAAACCCAATATTGCATTAATATTGCACTATACAATAATATACTATACAATATTATACTCCGGATTTGGAACCAGAGAAGAGACATCTAGAATGTTGCTGACACTCAACAAAAGATGAATTTGGTCAAACAAGATTTAGAGTTGCAATTAAGATCTACCTTATGATGCTTAGGGCTGTGAAGTGTCAGTACCTATCCACACTTCTGAATCAGCAGATTGCCTCCCTCCAATCTTAGCCCTGTGTGTCAGATCACACAGGCATGACTGGTAAGAAGGAAATGAATAAAATATTCCTGGAGTATGCAGAAGAAATTGTGTCACATTTGTCAGATGCAATTACTGAAATTTATTCCTGATTGGATATTGGCCTTGATGCTTGACTGGACCTTGAAATCCAGAGAAAATTCCCAGGCAGAATTCTTGCATGATTATTTAGGAATGATTTGAGCCTGTTGGAGCTGAGGATGTGGAGAGAGTTGGGATTGTGAGTTTAATCACCTGTTTTCTAGATCTATGCCCCACTTGGGTTGTAAAAGTGCCCCCAAGAAAGAGACAGACAGATGACAAACAGACAGAGAGAAAGCTAGATATAGAAAGAGAGGAAGGGGAGATCATATGTGTGTGTGTGAGAGAGAGAGGTGGGTGGGTGGGAGGGAAGGAGGGAGGGAGAGACGAAGAGAGGAAGAGAGGGAAGGAGGGAGAGAGAGATTGAAGCCCAGAGAAAAAAAAGTAAAGTTTGATCATGTGATTTAAGTCCAATATCAATATTGGACATGCATGTAATAAATATGACACCATTTGAAAATGTGAAGGATTTCTGTAGTAGCATTTTTAAAAATGACAAGGCTTTAATCAAACCTTTGTGCCTACTATTTGGCATTTTGAAATACCTCTCATATGCATCCATGTCTAAGACTTGGAAAAGGAAAGACTGAAGAAAGCTTATGGTGCTAATGAAGTGTGATTACCACTAACATATTCCTACTCCAATAGCTTACTTTTATTCTCATCAAATAATCAAAATCCAGTCCTTTTCAAAATTAACTACTTTAATGGGGGGAGGATTCAAATCTGAGAATTCCAAAACCAAAATTCTGAGGTTTGTTGGGTAGACTTCTTGTGGTTAGCTTTGAAAAACCACTGATCTAATCTAATACTTCATTTGTGCTGTATTGATCATTATGATTATATTCCATGTTTCATAGCCTTTATCTTATTTGTAGACATGATTGCCTGTTCTGAATGTCCAGAAGATCAATATCCAAGTAAGGACAAAGTTCGATGCATCCCCAAAATTTTAATTTTTCTAACTTTTCAAGAACCTTTAGGGATCAGTTTGGTTGTGGTTGCTACTTTGTTCTCAATCATTACAACATTCATACTTGCAATATTCATTAAGTATAAAGACACTCCAATGGTTAAAGCTAACAACAAGGACCTGACTTACACTCTCCTTATCTCCCTTCTGCTTTGCTTCCTCTGCTCTTTCCTCTTCATTGGAAAACCCCTTAGATTGATTTGCTTCCTTCGACAATCCGTGTTTGGCCTTATCTTCTCTGTGGCTATTTCTTCTGTATTGGCCAAAACCACCATGGTCATTGCAGCATTCATGGCCACCAAACCAGGATCTAGCATGAGAAAATGGTTGGGAAAAAGACTGTCCTTCTTAATTGTTTTTCCTGGCTCCTTCCTTCAAGCAGGCATTTGTCTGGCATGGATGATCACTTCTCCCCCCTTTCCAGAACTTAACATGCGATCCATGACTGAAGAGATCATAGTAGAATGTAATGAAGGGTCTGTTGTGATGTTTTATCTTGTCTTGGGCTATATGGGGTTTCTATCTCTGATCAGCTTCATGGTGGCTTTCTTGGCTAGAAACCTGCCTGATACATTCAATGAAGCCAAGTTCATCACTTTCAGCATGCTGGTATTTTGCAGTGTTTGGTTGTCTTTTGTTCCAACGTATTTGAGCACCAAAGGAAAGTATATGGTAGCTGTGGAGGTCTTTTCTATCTTAGCTTCTAGTGCTGGGTTATTGGGATGTATCTTCTTCCCCAAATGCTTCATTATTTTGCTGAGGCCTGACCTCAACAGCAAAGGTCAACTTGTAAAGAGAAAGTATTTCTGACTACTAGATGGTGGCTGCATAGATTTCTACTGTGAAATGGAAATGATAATCCTTTTAAAGAATAGAGCAAAACTAAATAGCTCTGGCAATATTACCAATATTTTTAATGTATAATATAATAACAGTGTGTGACAAATTCTTATAGCAATAGAAATAGTCATAGCATTTAGACTTATATACCATGTCATAGTGCTTTTCAGCCCTCTCTAAGCAGTTTACAGAGTCAACATATTACTCACACAATCTGGATCCTCATTTTACTGACCTAGGAAGGATAGAAGGCTAAATCAACCTTAAACTGGTCAGGATCGAACTGCTGGCCATAAACAGAGTTAGCTTGCAATACTGCATTTTAATCACTTTGCCAACACATCCACTCCTTTCGAACAAAAATGGAAAATAAAATCTTTCACTGTATAATGAGTGATTCTGCTTTTAATTCTTTTAGTTCTGATTATTTTCATGGTCAATTGGGTCTTTTTCAAAAAAGATGCATTTGGTACCTGAAAAAAAGATATACTATCTGGGTAATATATTTCGGCTTTTATCATTCTGAAGCAGAGTAGAGAAAAAAGAAAGGGAAGGAAAAAAGAAAAGAAAAATGTTATAAAGAAAGAGCTTCTTCTTAGCAGCAGTTGCCATTGAAATTATCATAAATACTTGCCTGAATTTGTTGAATCATATGCCTGAATTTGAATCATATGACCATGGGGATGCTGCAATGGTTATAAGTGCAAGGACCAGTTGTAAGTTACTTTTTTCAGTGTTGTTGTAACTTTGAATGTTCATTAAATAGATAATTATAAGTTGAAGACTATCTGCAATGTCTTTCTCCTTGCAATCATGCCATGCACACCATTATTACACAGGATTCTTCTGATGATTATCTCATGAATGCTGACATTTGTTAATGCAAGGGAGGTTTTTTAGTTCCTAAATGTTAACTCTGGGATTCTGTACATTTCTCTGTCTATGGTTATAGCATCCAGATAATTCTCAATGTATGACTATACACTGAGCAACTATTTGAAGTAATTATGGTGTTGAATGAAGGGACCTATGACCCATGTTCAAAGTTATGGTCATTGCACTGCCCCTGGGGTCATGTGATCAGAATTCAGGAGTTTCACACCCTGCCTCGACTTAATGACCGCAGAGTCATGTTAACTCACTGATCCCTTCCTCTAATATAACCCCTTTTGACTTTCCCTTTTGACTTCAACCTCTTGTTGCTCCTACTTTGGCAGCTTTGGCTTAGGAAAAATGAAAAAGTCCCCCTTGAAAAGAGTTCCTATGGGGCCAGGATGAAGGAAGACATACTGGTATGATTTCAGTAAAGAATACTTCTTTCTAGTCTGGGGTCAGTAAAAAATCTTGGAGACTGTAAATCAAATCACTCTCATTTATAGTGAGTTAATTAAAGTGTAGTCTATTTGAATGAATGCAAAGCATTCTTCCCAACCATTTCTATAGTTTTTGGAGATTTGGAGATTCAAGGTGTTGTAGGATGTAGTGCAGAGCCATATTAACAGCATCATCTTTTAATCTTTTGCTTGGTACGTAAACTGCATGAGATCTAACAGTGGATCTGTGGTGGTTTTCAGGTGGGACAGCACTAACCTTTCAAAGGTTTTCATAACTACAGATGTTAGAGCAACTGGTCTGTAGTTATTCAGTTCCTTGATGGAGGGGTTCTTTGGCACTGGGATGATGGTAAAACGTTTGAAGCAGGAAGGAACATAGCACATCTCTAGTGATTTATTGAAGATTTGGGTGAAGATGGGGGCTAATTGGTCAGCACAGACTTTTAAGCAAGAAGAAGATTCTTATCTGGCCCTGGTACTTTTCCTGGCTTTTGTCTGTGAAATAGATCTTGCACTCCTTTTTCTGTGATCACCAGAGGTTGTGAACCTAATGGGTTGGGGTCAGTTGTAGGAGGCTTGGCTGTTGTTGGTGTGTTTGAGATGGGGCTTGTGAAGATAGGTGGCTGTAATTTCCTTTCAAACCTGCAGTAAAACACATTCAGGTCATCTGCTAGTTGTTGATTTCTTTCTGCCTGGGAAGGAGGTTTGCTCTAGCCAGTGATGTTTTTAAGAGTTTTCCACATGTTTGCTGGTTCATTTGTTGAGAACTGATTCCTTAACTTTTCAGAGTAGCTTCTTTTTGCTGCTCTCTTGTTAATATGTTTCTGGCCTGATTGTATAGCATTCTGTCACCTTTTCTGTAAGCTTCCTCTTTGGAATGATGTAGCTGCTTAAGTTTAGCTGTAAACCAAGGTTTATTGTTACTATATATGTACAGGCTCCTTGTTGATACACATAAGTCTTTGCAGAAGCTGACATATGATGTTATGGTATCTGTGAGCTCATCTAGGTCTGCAGAGGTATCTTCAAAAACATTCCAATCAGTGCAATCAAGGAAAGCCTGGAGCTTCAGCTTTGCTCATCAGACCAAGTCCTCACTGATTTAATTATTGTTTTCATGGTTTTAAGTCTTTGTCTGTAAGCAGGTACAAGGTGAATCATGCAGTGATCAGAGTGTCCCACAGCTGCTCATGGTAAAGACCTATAAGCATCTTTTACTGTTGTGTAGCAGTGATCTAAAGTATTTTTGCCTCTGGTGGGACAATTTACATGCTGGAAATATTTTGGGAGCTCTTTCCTTAAATTTGTTTGATTGAAATCTCCTAAAATGATGGGAAGGAAATCTGGGTGTTTGGCTTCAGCCTCCATAATTTGATCAGCTAGAGTTTGTAATGCCTTGTTTACACAGGCTTGTGGAGGAACATACACAGCTATTAGGAGAAATGAGGAGAACTCATGTGGAGAATAAAATGGCTTGCAGTTCATATGTAAAGACTTTAAATTTTAATCATGGAATTTATATATTATATCCTGAGACCAGCTGTTGTTGATATATAAACATTCCACCCTTCATTTTACCTGATATCTCTTCAATTCTGTCTATCTAAATATCTCAAATCCTGGGATGTATATGCTGTTGTCATCATGAATTTGTGCATTAAGCCATGTTTCGGTAAAACAGAGAACTGCTGAATTGTAGAAATCAGAATTGCATCTATTTAAAAGACATGTTTCATCCATCTTGTTAGCAAGTGAGCATAAATTAGTCAGAAAGACTGAAGGGAGAGGGTTCCCCCCCACATTCCTTAGTCTATTTAAAATTCCCGTTCATTTACCTTGTCTCCTTTTCTGGCACTGCCACATTTTTTCCTTTGTTTGTTGTAATCCATAGGACTGGGGAATTAGTTAGAATCTCCTCTGTGTTTTCAAAGACAGGTGGGGGTGAGGAATCAGAAAGCTGCTCCTTAAAGAAACATTGCCCAATTCTTAGCAAATGGTCTCGTGAGTATGAAATCCATTGTGAATTGCAGAGAATAATAAAGAAAAAAAGAAATCATTAGAGAGCATTTCACTGGGGCAGTTGTTGTTGGCACCATCTTGGATCATATGAGGAGAAGATTAGTACCATCAGGAGAAGAGTAGTACCATCTAGAAGGGGTGTCAAACTAGTAGCCTGCGGGCCAGATGTGTCATGCACAGGCTATGCCATCCCAGCTCTGTGAAGGGGGAAAACATCACAATATGTCATGTGATGGCAATGTGGCATGCCAAGTTTGACACCCATGATCTAAGGATAAACTAAGCCTCTTCTTATTTCTTAAATTAGTGAGAAAACAGTGGAAGAAAGTGATTTACTCATTACTCAGGAAAAAGCTGATGTTAAATGTTGACATGATTCTCCTAATTCAAATAAGTAGTGATATGATTCACTACTATAAAGCAATTCACAGTGTTGTAAGTGAAGTCTTTTCTTAGTCTACCCCAGCAATCCTGGCTGAAGATGTTCATTGCTGGATGGTTTTGACACAAGTGTGGAATTAAGCCTACTAGCTATGGCCCCTACAGCAGCCAACATCTTGCACAGAAAGAGGAAGCTCAAGGGCAAAGCCCAAGAGAGGGTATAAATAACACTCGCTCTCCACTCCATGTGGTCAACTGCTGTGGCCCTGTCCATCAATAAATCATCTTTCCAATCAGCCTCCATGTTTCCAGTGTCTTTCTTCCCACTTGGAACTGAACCAGATGAATATTTCTTCCAACACTACCATCTAAAGGTATACTGAGGTTCTTCCTCCTTCTGAATTTAGTGAGGAGGTAGTAGACAAAAGTGAGTTACTCACTTCTGGAAAGACCTGTGTTTAAAACACCTGTGCAAAATGAGTTATTCACTTCTGTCAATAGGTTGACATCAAATGTTGATACAATTCTCTTCATTCAATTAAGGTAGCGATAGGGATTCAGTACAACAAAGCAATCCAATTTGTCTTGAAGTATGGATCAGTGCTACAGAAGTCTTTTCTTAGTCCTCCCCAGTAGTTCTGGTTGAAGGTCTTTAATGTTGGGTAGTTTTGATTCAATAGCACTTAGACTTATATACCACTTTACAGTGCTTTACAGACCTTCCTGGGTGGTTTACAGAGTCATCATATTGCCCTAACAATTTGGGTCCTCATTTTACTTGGAAGGATGGAAGGCTGAGTCAACCTTGAGCCTGGTGAGATTTGAACTGCCAAATGGCAGGCAGTCATCAGTCATCAGTAGTAGCCTGCAGTAATGCACTCTAACCACTACGCCACCATGGCTCACACTCACAAGCATGGGATTACCATTCTCTTGAAGTCACACAACCTGTAATATGTGCCCAATCTGGGGTCAATCTTCCCAAGGCTGAGTAGAGTGTGTCAGAGGACAGATTCTATATAAAAGGAATCCCCATCTTGGCACAGGATGAAGGTACTATGTTTGCAGAAAGTTTTGTAGGACAAGGCTGAAAGGGATTTTTAAATGGAGTGACCTGAAGCAACAGAGTGCATTTCAACAGTGCAATTCTCCATAACACCTGAAAAAACCATAATTTTACCAATGGAATAATTTATACTTCTCTAAGTCTCATCCTCTATTTTGAACCCAAAGGAA